TAATTTACATATAAGGGGTAGATTCATCCCTTTAAACCGTTTTTTAGCACCAACTGATAATTTCTAAATTCATCTATTTATGTGACCTCAAAGTGTACCAAGTTTCATTAAAATCAGAATTTGACACTTCGCAAGGTTCCCTTGTCAGTATAACGTGATAATTTACTCTTGTAGTGAGGTGCTAGACATCGGTTTAAAAAATTGTTAAAAACTATTAACACCTGAACTGTGAACGAAACCTATAGAATTCGTTGGAACTATTGTGAAACTATCGGATAACGCCAAAAAATCGACTAGAACTCGCGATAAAGTGGTACTTTACTTTTGTAAAGTGAGGTGCTGGCAGGCTGATAAAAAAAATTGTTAAGAAATATCTAAATGCCTGAACTGTAAACGAAACCTATAGAATTTGTTGGAACTATTGCAAAACTATTGAAAAACGCCAAAAAATCGATTAGAACTCGCGATAAAATGGTACTTTACTTTTGTAGTGAGGTGCTAGACATAGATTTAAAAAATTATTTAAAAAAATTTAAATATCTGAACTATAAACAAAATCTATAGAATTCGTTGGAACTATTGCGGAACTATCGGAAAACGTCAAAAAATCGGCTAAAACTTGCGATAAAGTGGTATTTAACTCTTGTAGTGAGGTGCTGGCTGATAAAAAAATTGTTAAAAAATACTAAAATGTCTGAACTATGAACGAAACCTATAGAATTCGTTGAAACTATTGTGGAACTGTCCGAAAACGCCAAAAAGTCGATTAGAACTTGCGATAAAGTGGTACTTTACTCTTGTAGTGAAATGCCAGCGCTGAAGTTCAAAAATTGATACATTGATACAAATTTTTTAAAATAGTTACAGGCCGGAACTCTTTCTAAAAACCTATCAGGAACTATTCGAGAACTATAGAAATTCATCGTTGAAATTCACTTTTCTGAAATTTGCCACGGAAAATTGGCACTTCATATTTTCAAAGCGCTGTTTTTTAAACTAATTTAGTGGAACTATTTTCATAATCTATCAGGAACTGTAGAACTATTGCGGGTGCAAATGGAACGGAGCATAAAAACCTGCGGTGTAAAAAGATGAGGTGCTAACTTCACATACGCCATCTCTATATAATCGTTTTTTGAATTAGATAATTGTAAATTTATTCTCAATTATCAATATATTATATTTGATATAAATTGACTCTAGAAATAATTCATAAAAAGGATTAGTTAAAATGCAATAATTGATGTGTTATCGTAGTTTATGTTTCTCATAAGATTAATTATTAATTTTTTTGTAACAATGTTATAGTAAAAAATATAATCTATTTAACGTTCTGCGATGCAATATCACTCACATTGGATTCAATTATGAATTAATTTTTAAATTATTAAAGTGTAACTGACAGCAATTTCAACGATGCAAATAAAGATTTTATTCATTTTATTCCAATGTATCATTTTTTCCTTAAGTCGCGTTATTATAATAATAATTTTTGGTTTCTAAAAGGAAAAATTCATTAAAAAATGTAGAAACAAAACAATCCTCGTGTGGTAGCAAAAACGCCTAAAAGTTGTATCTTCTGTTATTCTCAAAATTTGATCAAGTTTTTATATTATGTGAAAAGGCTAGAGAAACTCCTTAAAATGCCGTAACTTTGTAAAAAAAATCGTAGCTACTTGCTTTTTTTTTTAAATTAAACAGAAAGATTCAAACTTTATGATGCTACAAATGGCATCTCTGATAAAAATTTTAGCAAATCCGTGCATTCCGTCAAACTTTGTAATTTGTAGAATGACAAACATGCTCTTATATTTAACAGTTTATGGTAGCAGGGGTAAATTTAAAATTGACCCATAATATCTTAAAGTAAAGATTTCAACCTTTAATTTAAAAAAATTCTACGATGATTTTTCACGGAGTGTTATCATCAGCCAACGTTGGTCAATTTTTGCTCAAAATTTTTTTATGGCATGATCTTTGGGTCTTTTGAGCAGTGTATATATTTTATTTGCAGGAAGATAAAAAAGCAGAAGTGGAAGCTAGAGTAGAAGAAGCTAGAAGACGAGAAAAAGAAGAACTACGAAGAGAAAGGCAACAGTTGTTTTTATCACGAAAACGACAATTGGCTGAAGTACGAGCATTGGAAGCAAAGCTTGCACGTAGTCGACAGTTTCAAGATTGGCGCAATGCACAGTTACCCCTTACTTCATTTATAAAAACTCATACACAACCTTCTATTTATTACGTACCAAAGCGTAAACATCCACAGACAGATACGTTATTAGCGCAGTCCACAAAAGAACTTTATGGTTTGTATTCTTATAAGTATTAGGTCTGTTCTTTGTAGCTAAACTATGTACTTGTAATTAAAATGAAATAATAGAATTTTATTTGAAATTTGACAAGAGTAAGATAGAAGGTTTTAGTGCAGCGACAAAGAACAAACTTATTGTATATAAATTTATTATACATATATATACTTACTCAAATATATATATATATTTTTTTTATATTATTTCAGAGGAAATTGAAAAAAGAGAAAAAGCATTAATTGAAGAATTAAATTTAATCGAAATGCAGATAGGATTAAGTAAACATTCACAACATTTTGAAGCATCTTCATCTTTACATACTGTAGAAACTCCACGTTTAATAGAAGAAGGTGAAGAAAATCGAGATCCTAATCCAGAACATAATATTGAGGCTGCAATCGGTGATAGTAATGTTAATGCTGATATTTCAATGCAGTCTATAATAAATGAAAATTTTGATAATGATCATACTACAGAGAAAAAGGAAGACATACAATTGGACCAAGTTCAATCAGATGCAAACAATGGCTAGTATAAAATTTGCTATAATAAAGAGTTGTACATATTATGTACATCCAACGGTCCAACATAAAAAGATTTTCTTAGTAAGTTCTTCGAGTATTGTTTTATGATTGTATAATGAAAGATATCCCTAAAAGATCAAAACTTGTAATTTTATTACCATTTAAATCTGTAGTTCAGTTTTGTGACTTTAATCTGTAAACTAAAAAATTATATGAATTTTCCTTGCATTATTATCAAAATAAATTAGTTTTTATATACATATATATATCCTTTCCATTGTATATGATAATACAGATCAGTAAAATATGTCAAATTTCAATCTTTTATGTGTTTAAGGCTTCTGACCCATATATGTAAAATTACTATCAAACATATTAAAGTAGAGGCCGTATGCGCCAACACGGATATTAGTGTGTAATAATTTTTTTACAATATCCACACGCAATTGTAAAAAAATTATTACACACCAACATCTATGAAACACTGTTTTACTATTAAGTTTTACTATTAATTTATTAGTACTTCAATAATCGCAGAAAAAGAAATCACAATTATATTTTGTAAAGAACATTTTGTGCAGTCACTTCTTATTTAATGTTGTCTTTATATCATTGCATATATTATAACGTTAATTTAAAAGAAATATTTACTTTAATACATTCTGTAGAGTATTACCAAAAATGTTTCGATGTACGTTGTTTTAAAGACAAATTTAAAAATTATTTACAATATTAACGGTAAAGCATTTAATCAGTTTTTCTGCAAAACTATAAAATATAAAAAGTGTAAACATTGTATTAATTTATAATCCTTTTCTAAAAGTTATTTATTTTTTACAATTATTAGAGTATTACAAAAATTTATTATTTTTCACAATTGCCATTTTATTGTAAAAACTTGTTTTGGCAAAAATCAGTACTTTTTGCAACTATCGCTGTATTGTAAAAATTATTGATTCTGTGCAACTTGTCGATCTTAATAAATTTTTATTTTTTGCAATAGTCAGTGTATTGCACAAATTGTGGTACACCTGTGTCGCAATAATTAAGATCCTTAGCCATAAGTGATTACTATTGGCGGTCCACTAGGGATCTTATTTATTGCGACACAGGCGTACCACAATTTTTGCAATACTGACTATTGTAAAAATTATTCATTTTATGCAATTATCGTTGAATAAATTTTTATTTCCATAGGTTTTTTATTCCTGCACTAGAATTTTCTCGCTTTTGTCAAACATCAAATATATATATATATTCTACTAAAGTGCAAAGAGTGTACACTTGTTCAAGTATGGAAAATAGAACAGACCCCAGACAGATTGTGAATGCGCATGTGTAGCGTTATGTAGAGTCGTGTAGAGGTTAGATATTGTGTCTTTTCAGCCTGTATGGTTTTTCTTTTACATAATAGTAGGATTTATTTTTCTTTAATGCACGTTACTTCATGTAGGCATTAAATGTGATTAAAAGCTAGGTGACATGAAATAGGTTAGAAACGTGCGTATTTGCGTTAAAGAATTAAAACGAGAGGGTGACATCATCTGCACCGTAATGTTTTCACCCGCTTTTATGTCGGCCGCCGGGTCTACAATGACTGCGTTCCGTGCAAGTTGCACAGAATCAGTGCAAGTCTACCGAATATATAGCCAGAGAGGATCCTGAGAGCGGTCATGCCCGCGATTTAGCTGCGATGGCGATTGAGCTGGTTTCAGCGCCTCTGGAAAGTGGACATTGAACTACCAACTAGAG